CTCTCTCTCTCTCTCTCTCTCTCTCTCTCTCTCTCTCTCTCTCTCTCTCTTTCTCTCTCGATCTTAGTGATGCATTCTTGACGGACTTGTTTCCGCACGGAGAAAAATAATTTGCTGGCCCAGCAAATGTTTTGCTGATCTAGCAAAATCTTTTCGTTATTATATACAGCAAAAAGATTTGCTAAGAGTACCAATCACTATTTGCTGGATATGATTTGCTGAATTTACAAATTATTTTGCTGTAAGAAGCATGATGGATTTATATAAGCAGTTTTGCTCCGATAGCAAATAAATTTGCTAAGGATACATTATTTTGCATCAATAGCAAATTAACATGATTCTTAGAACAAATACACTGAAAAAAAAGATAATAATAGTTACTAAATATTTAGTAAAATAGTTTCAACTCGATCGTTTAGTAGATATAACCAAATGCTTGGTCATAATTAACAAATTGGTTAATATTGATCAAATATGTAGTCATATGCACCAAACGATTGAGTTAAAACTATTTTATTAAATATTTAGTAACTGTTACTATCTTTTTTTTCAGTGTTTTGATGTATACATTCAACAAATTTTTTCTGTCCTGACAACGAAACTACTTTTGCTCTGATAACAAATAATTTGTAAAATTAGTTACGCTAATTTAATTTTTTTTATGTCACCACGAATATGCGGTACACTGAGAGAAAAAAATAATTGGAATAACTATAATCTCATTATATTTTATAGTTCGTTTTGGTCTCAAACATATATTTATAGTTCATCTAAACATAAAGATATAGCAGAATTAAAACAGATTTATAGTCACCATCTTATTACTCTATGTATATAGTAAAGCATGCTTTGGGAATATAGTTCCATGTACCTATATTTTCCAAATATTCCAATTGTATTGACTATATAAAATAGTTAATTTCTCTTACCATTCAATATTTGCCTTACTATATTTTTTATTTCAAATGATTATAATTCTTGGTAAAAGTTCTACATGGATCAGTTATACTATGCTTATATTGTAAATATTACAAAAATTATGCTTAAATTGACTATAAAAATAATACTCCTAACCATAATCTGTTTACTATGCCATTATTCCAAGTATCATACATTTTTCCCTCAGTGTAGCAACGACGATTTTGCTAAAAGAGCAAAATTATTTCTCTCCGTGTATGTTTAGTCCGCGACAATCGCGCTGATTGCACTCGAGCGGACGCAGTCACGGCAGTATTCGCAATTGTCACTTGTCTCACCTCAACGACGAAGTAGAGAGGATCACCGGGGAGGGCGTGTACGGCGAGATAGCGGCTGGCGGACACCAGGGGTTGAAGGCAAGACCGCGCAGCCGTGACACCGCTACCACGCATGCTGCATGCTTCATTTCGTCGCCGCTACGTCCAGCGTCCTCACTGCAAACAACAAAAAACCGTGATTCATCATGAGCCTCCGGTGGCGAAACGTTGGTTTCGAACTTGAGCGCT